TATTGCCACTCTTCCCCAGGGTAACTGCTATTACCAATTCAGGTGTGTCCTTCCAGAATCTTACTAAGAGTTTTCTCCCCCCCGCCCTTTTTTTTTTTTTTTTTTTTAAGAGAGAGGGGCATCGAGGGGCAGGGGAGGGAGAGAGAGAACCTTAAGCAGGCTCCACACCCAGTGCTCGGAGCCCAGTGCAGGGCTCGATCTCATGACCCTGAGATCATCACCTGAGCTGAAACCAAGTCGGATGCTTAACTGAGCCACCCAGGCACCCCCAAAATCTTAAAATTTTTCAACTTTACTTGAACAGGCAACCCACACATTCAAAATTGAATTCAGAAGTACAACAGAGAAGCCAGGCTTCTGGGCACTTCTCTTCCTGAGCAGCCTGGTCCTCCTCAGCCACGACTGCCCGTCCGTGTTCTCCAGAGGGTGTCTGTACGCACACAGCGCACACACATTGATTCTTCACCCCCACACCGGTCACACCACCAGGCCGGCACTCCTCACGTGGTGCAGTGGCTTAGGGACTGTCGGCCTGCCCCGCTCTGCCTCCTGCAAAGATGGCGCCGGGGCGGCTGGATGGCCACCCGGAGCTGCCATCGCTGGCACGCAGCTGACGGAGCTAGGGAACCGTGCCGCGAACGCTGTTTCTGGTGTTCCTCACTTCGGTAGGATACGCTTAGATATGAAATTCTCGTTCTGATTAGTGCTCTGGAGTGTGAGTATGCATGCCTTTCATGAATTCTAGAAAAATACCAGTCCTTAACTGTTTGGATATTGCCTCCTTGCCCTATACTGTTTCTCCCTCTAGAACTTCTTTTGGATACATGGTGCACTGTCCCCTTCTATCATTTGCATCTCTTAACCCCTCAGTCACATTTCTTATCTGTGCTCTGTTTTAGGTCATTTTTCAGATTTCTTGTCTAATCCACAAATTCTTCTGAATTTAACTTCAGGAGTGGTGTTTTCATATCCAGAAGTTTTATGAGGCCGCCCTTTTTTTTAAAGGTAGATGTCTTAACTCCCCTTTCCCACCCCACTTATTTTGGGTGGGCCTGAGTCTTACCCTCTTGCCACTGGTTCCTAAGGTTGGCACCTGCCAGCAGCCTTGCCCCAGCCCAGGCTATCCAGGCTGCTTTCCAGCTTGGGCCCTGTGGCAGCCGCTTGCTTTGTGAACCCAGCAGTGCGTTTTAAAGGCTGTTGCTTATCCAGCAGTACCAAGTGATTTTCAGTGGGAGGGTCGGTAAGTTGTCTGAAACAGGAACCCCATCTTTTGCTACTGAAAACAGTGCTATAACTCATGGTCTTAAATGCCCATGTGTGTATTTGTAGACGTGTGTTAGATACAGCCTAGATAAATTCCTAGAACCGAAGCTGCTATGTCAGAAGTCAAGTGTGTCGTTTGTTGGCTTATTGCCAGATCGTGCCCGAAGGGCTGCGTTCACATGAGGTGCACATAAGTGCCTGCCCGCCCAAGGCTCCCCAGCCTGGAGGGTCTCAGAGTTTACGACCAAACTTGACCTTTGACAGGAAGGTAGGTGACAGGTGGTATCCAACTGTAATTTCATAATTTCTCTCATTACCAGTGAACATCTCACACATGTTTAAAAGCCATTAGTATTTTCCCATGAACTATTTTTTCTTAGCTTTTCTCCTATTGTAATATCGGGTTGCCAGTCTTTACTTTCAATTTGAAGGACTTTTTTTAAACAAGAAATTAGCCAGTTCTCTGTTGCAAACATTTCCACCAGTTTATCGTTTTTCTTGATTTTGATATTTTTTTCCCCATGTGGGAAAATTTTAAACACTTTTATAATTATCAGTATTTTCCCTTTTGACTTGTGAGGTTTTTTTATTTAGAAGGGCCTTCTCTATTCTGAATATTCGTTTTTTTTTTAATTTTTAAAGATTTTATTTATTTATTTGACACACAGAGGAAGATCACAAGTAGGCAGAGAGGCAGGCAGATAGAGAGGAGGAAGCAGGCTCCCTGCGGAGCAGAGAGCCTGATGTGGGGCTCGATCCCAGGACCCTGGGATCATGACCTGAGCTGAAGGCAGAGGCTTTAACCCACTGAGCCACCCAGGCACCCCAATTCTGAATATTCTTGTAGCTAATTATATTTAACTCTTTGAGGCATCTAGAATTTAAGAGCTCCAAGCTGAGAAATTTATTATAGGGTATTGTCTTTAATTGCTTTTATAAGTGGCATTTTTTCTTTGAGTACATGTTTTAAAACTAGTGGTTGTTTGTACCTAAGATAGCTATTGATTTTGACATATTAATTTCATTTGATCTGAGTTATTACTGAATTATCTTCGACTGTCATCTCTAATAAACTTGTCCACTTCTCATTTTTTCTCGTATCTAATTGTACCTAATTTTAAAAACAATATGAAGAATTAGTAAAAGCAGACCACTGTTTTTTAAAGCCGCCTTTAGAGGGGCACCTGGGTGGCTCAGTGGGTTAAGCCTCTGCCTTTGGTTCAGGTCATGATCTCAGGATCCTGGGATCGAGCCCTGCATCGGGCTCTCTGCTCAGCCGGGAGCCTGCTTCCTCCCCCACCCCCCCACCCTACCCCACCCCACCCCTGCCACCTCTCTGCCTACCTGTGATCTCTTATCAAATAAATAAATAAAACCTTAAAAAAAGAAAGAAAGAAGGTAAATCTCATCACATTTCTTTTCAGCAGTCCATGGTTTGTTGTAGTAACTTGAAGTATATTAATGGATGCCCTCAAGGGGTTCTGCTGTATTTTATTCCGGTCTGAGCACTGACACCGATCTGGCATTGTCTTTGATACTCTGCTCTCATCGTCAGTTTTGGGGAGGACAGAATGTTGGCTTCACCGACAGACCTGGGCAGCTGTCCTCCGTCCTTGCTGGCTGTGGAGCAGCGTGTCTGGCCCCTGGGCTCTTCCCTCCAGGACAGGCCCATTTAGCATGTTTGCGGGACTGTTGCTCCCTTGACAGCCTTCTCGGTCTGCTCATTGTTACCTTTGCGATCCTTGCGGGTCGATTTGGGTAATTCTTATTTCTCTAGAAAGTGGCTTATTTCACTTAGGTCTTCAGATTTGGAAACTTAAGAAAATCAGCTTAAACCTGAGTGCATTATGACGCAAGAAACAGAATTACTTAAAATCTACAAAAACCAGGTCCATGTAAGTTGGATTTTTGTTTGTTTGTTTTTCCCAGGCAGTTTTACCAAATATTTGCTAAACTCTCCCCTCCATCATTGTAAAGCTTCTGGTCCTGAAGTGCACCCTTCCTGTGTTGCCTGCGTCGAGCTTTACTTTGTGATCTATTCAGGGCACTTCCTGTTAATACGTGGGTTTATCCTGCCTGCACCCGAGACTCAGCAAGTACGTTCGTCTCAAGCCGGCGGTCTGGTGCCACATTTGAAAATCTGTTTCATTCGTCTCTGCATGGCCTGTGTGTTCTGCCAGTATTTTGGTACATCCCTTTCTTCTAGAAAGTATCCATAGGTAGCTGACTTGGGGTCTTTTTCTGTGAAGAAAACAAAAATCTTAATATGTGTTTAAACTTGGAAGCTACACTGGGTACAGAATTTTCAGTTCAAATTTATGTTCCTTAGAAATCTAAAAACAATAGGTCTGTGTGTGCATGCTCAAAACTGAGTTTAGGACACAGAACGTGTTTCAGATCATCTCTTCTCACTGCCTATCGGGACCACATTTCACAGGCTGGCATTAGGTCTGTCCAGTTCCCCTCCCCGGTGGTAGGGTCTTTTCCTTTCTGACTCACAGCACAGAGACTGTTACATTCACCTGTACTGAAATTTTGCCACATTTAATTTTGGCTGTGTGTCTTATTTCCGGAACTGTGTTGGTATTTCTGCTGGATGAGACATTTGTCTCATTATCTAATTTGTCCATATGTGGAAATTCAGCATATACTTAGGTAAAGAGTAGTTTTGTTTTGTTTTTTAAAGATTTTATTTATTTGACAGAGAGAGAGATCACAAGTAGGCAGAGAGAGAGGGGGAAGCAGGCTCCCCGCCAAGCAGAGAGCCCGACGCGGGGCTCGATCCCAGGACCCTGAGATCATGACCCGGGCTGAAGGCAGAGGCTTAACCCACTGAGCCACCCAAGCGCCCCGGTAAAGAGTAGTTTTTAAAGAGGTTCTTAAATTCAGATTATGACAAAGCAAGTCATTGTTTTGAGACTTCAGATAAGTGGCAACCAGTGTCCCCATGGTCAACCATAGACACCTCCCTTTCCAAATTTTAGCAAGAGGGTGATGGACTGACAGAGTTGAGTTAAATACCAGAAAAGTTGAATTTCCCAAACGGGTAAGGATCTGGGTTGCAAATGAGTGTGGCTGGTTTAACAGAAGCTTAGACTGCCAGCAGCACCACGGTGCTGGGCGCCACACTCACCTGGGACAGCTGCGCAGTCAGATGCCAGGCCCCACTCACCTTCCCTCGGAGTGGACTCGTGCTCAGGGCAGGCGTCCTTCCGGTCAAGCAGAGAAAGAGCGTGGTACTTCTCTCGCAGCTATCTTGTTCCAGGGGCTTTTAAGTCCTTCTGTCTAGAGAGCTGCGGGCACGGTAAGTGAGCTCATTCCGTGTGCATCTGAGCTGTGCATGAGATGTGCGCCTAAAGGGAGAAAACTTCTCTGCCGATATTTAGATATTTGCGACCCAAGGGTTTTGTTTTTTTTAAGATTTTATTTATTTGTCAGAGAGAGAGCGAGTGAGCACAGGCAGACAGAGTGGCAGGCAGAGGCAGAGGGAGAAGCAGGCTCCCCACAGAACAAGGAGCCCGATGTGGGACTCCATCCCAGGATGCTGGGATCATGACCTGAGCCGAAGGCAGCTGCTTAACCAACTGAGCCACCCAGGCGTCCCCAAAGGGGTTTTTGTATGTTGTGTTTTCACAAAATTGTTGTGCACAGACCAGAACCCCTGAGGATGACTCTGTTCTTTCGGGCTTTAACTCACCTCCCCTTTCCCTTCTCTGCGCTCATCTTGGGCCTTCCAGGGTGAGGATCCACGACCTCCGCACTGACAAAATCGCCCTGTCGCTCTCCGCCCACCAACTGGGAGTCTCCGCGGTGCAGATGGACGACTGGAAAATCGTCAGTGGAGGCGAGGAAGGCCTGGTCTCCGTGTGGGATTATCGGATGAGCCAGAAGCTGTGGGAAGTGCACTCCAGGTAACGGGGCACTCACGGGATCCTGGAAAGTGGACTCTGAGAATAAAAGGAAGAAATCTACAGTTGCCCGGACCTGCAAATACACATCGCAAGTCAGGATAAGGGAAGGCAGGCAAAAGCAGGCAAGGTTAAAGAGGGCTTGGCTGCCTCCTGGAGAGCAGTGGGAGCTAGTGCTCACTCCCTTTAGCCGCTTTTATGAGACTCGAGCCCCGGGTGATGTCCACACTGCTTGACTTTGTCCAGCCCTGCCTTACTCACCAAGCAGGCGTAGTAATAATCCCTTTTTGTGCTTTCTGTGGTGACACATGGACTTGCCACCAGGTGGTGCCAGAAGGCAACTAAAACTCCTCCTCGGCGGCATTCCCAGAAATAGCTACGTTTCCGAGCGGTCCACCCCTCGTCAGGCAGCTCTCCTTGTAGCCCCGGCCCAGGGCACGGCCACCGTCCCCTCTCCCACTTTCCAGCGACTCTGGCTGCTGCACTAGGCTGCCACCCCAGCGGATCTTTTTCTCTCCCTGAGAAGCTGTGTTTCCTCCAGGGCATCATTTGGGAGAGGCTAGGGTTGGTCAGGTCTTCCCCAGAATTTCCCTGTCCCGGCATTCATTTTCCTAACTCATTTGTAAACATACAACCAGTCTTCACACCTAGTTCGTGGCTTGTCCCGGGCAAGGCCCTCACTTCCCCCCAGGACACTGCTGGGCCTCACCTTTCAGTCTCCTGCCCAGAGCTTGTGAGCACATTAGGTCCTCCCCTGCCCATGCACGCAGCTGGTCTGGTTCTGCTGAGCCTCTGGTCCAGCCCTGCTGAGCATGGGAGCCTCCACTGCCGCCCTCCCCGTTTCCTCCAGCCAGCGCCCCTTGTCCGCCTGCCTCCCTGGCCCCTAGTGAAGTCTTCCAGCCGGTGCCCTGGACTGACAGGGCCTGACTCAGATCCCCCTGAACCTTCCGTACTCTCAAGAGAACGTTCTGTTCCAGCCAAGAAGCCTGTTACCCGCCCACCCCCCAGCCATCCCAGGAGCAGCCCCTGCCGATCCTGCACAGATTGTCTCAGCTCTGTCTTCCCGAAAGGCCTGGCTGATGGGCCTTCACTGCCCTGAGCCCAGTGCCAAATCCTGTGTCTCATCTTGGGGGCTTACAATGTCTCTCATGCAAACGTTCGATTCTTCGGTAGGAATCCTCCGCTGGCAGGCTCCTGCATTAGACATCTTTTATATCCTGTGTCTCCTGGCTTGGTGCTATGACCATAGGAGGCACTGGATGGAAGTTTTTAGAATGAACAGAAGCCTTTGCTACATTAATTTCTAGCCGTTGTTGCAGAACACTGCAGCCGTGGTAGCCCTCTCAAGCTTCGGAGGAGAGGGGCTTTTAGAACTCAGCCCCACACCCTGCAGCTGGGAGCCTGGCTTGGAGCACTTACCCAAGGCCGGCAGCCAGAAATGGGGCTGTGCTCTGCCAGATGGAGCTAACCTCCTTGACGTCCATGTTGCAGGGGAGTCAGCTGGGGGCACGGGGGGCGGGGGTAAGGCAAGGCAAGACTTTGCCCCTCTGGGGGCCCAGGTTTGTCCTCTGGCAGAAGCTTGGCAGAGAGTTCTAGCATCTCTTCTGCACAACTTCTAAACATGGGAGATGCCCAGTTTCAGAGCATTTCCCTTTCCCACGGCTCGTTCCCGTCGTGTTTCAGGCACCCCGTCCGTCACCTGTCCTTCAACAGCCACAGCCTCATCACGGCCAACGTGCCCTGCGAGAGGGTGGTGCGCAACACAGACCTGGACAACTTCACCGCTCACAGGAGGTCAGCGGGCTGGGGCTGCGGGGCTGCAGGGCAGACCATCGTAGTTCAACTCCGGGAGGAGGATCCCGCCCGGGCCCCCTCTCAGGCACGGCTGTTCTCACGGCAGCCGCGAGCCCACGTGGCCGTGCGGCAGTGCGCGCCTTGTGAGGCCTCCCCCGGGATAGCACATGGCATGGGGCACCCACCGCTGTGGCTGAACTCCCAGTGCAGGTGGCTAAGCCCCGGCCTCGTGCTCCATCTGGACCCCGGAGCCCCCCACCCAGCTGGGTCTTTCGGGATGTGTCCTGGCCTTCCCTGATGCTGACGCTTTCCACCCGCCGCCCCACCGCTGGCCTCCCCGCACGCCGTCCCCTCCTCCTGACTTGTCTCGAGTCCAGGGATTCTGAGTGTCCGATGGCCCGTGGGCGGGAGGGACCTGGGTGTTACCGGAAGCACGGGCCCGGGTGGGGTGCACGCCCGGGGTGGGGTCCGGCAGCGCCGTGCCAACACGCTCCCTGTCCGTGTGCTTCCTCTAGACACCGCGGGCTGATCCACGCCTACGAGTTTGCCGTGGACCGGCTGGCCTTCCAGAGCACGCTGCCCATCTGCCGCGCGTCCGCGGACACCGTGCCGGGCTACAACTATGACCTTGCGCTCGCCTTTCCCTAGGACCGTGGTTAGGGGAGCACCTCGTCGGGGAGCAGGGGGAAAATGGGAAGAACCAAAGTGGATGAATTTAAAAAACTACCGAGGAGCTCTGCACCAGGTGCACTGGTCTAACCCACAGGTTCCTCCACTGCCTTTGCTTTCCCCCACAGCCAGGTTGCTTCTCTGCAGCTGCCTATGGAAAGCTGGAGGTGGTCAGGGGCTGTGGCATTGACTCTGTTTTCTCTCCCTGACACTATGCCTCTGAGTGCCACCCACTGTCCCTCTTTCCTCCTGCATCTGCTGCCTGCCACACAACTCTGGTCACCCTGTTTCCAGCCGGGACCCTCTCCCCTGGCTACAATGTGGGTCCCCCCCTGCCGTCTGTGCACTACCGTGCAGGGCTCTGCTCCAGTGTGCAAGCCCTTTCCTCTCGGGGGGTCTGGGGTGTGGGCTCGGAGATCACAGACTCACTCCGGGCGCGGGGGGGTCCTTCATACCACCACCTCCTGTAAACCTAGGTGAGCAGTCCTGTCTTTATAGTTTTTACCACAATTTATAATTATATATTTATACACTTACTGCATTAAGGACTGTTTACTGTGGTGTCCACAACATGTGGTACAAAGTAGATTATTTTCTACCTATTTGTTGCATAAACAGTCATCCTCCACCTAGGATGGAGAGCGAGAGCTGGGGGAGAAACCCTTCTCCTAAACCACTGGGCTAAAGTGGGGCGGCACTGGGGAGCTCCTCCAGGTGACACGTCGCTTCCATTTCCAAAGGGTTAAGAGGGCAAACCTTCGTATGACTCTCGATTTAGACTGTTCTGAGCAGCAGCCTCTAATATCCCTTAAAAACACTAAAACCGACAGAACTACAAAGAGAAAGGCCATGCTTCTAGTGGGTGATCAGCAGATATAATCATTAAAAAAAAAAAATTGAAGGATTTAGAGGATTTACTTAATAGAATTTCCGAGTATGATCCAATAGAATTTTGTGCCTTTTTAAATATCCCTAGACCATGCACAGAAAACGGCTGTCTCAAAATCACAAAGGCAGTCTCAGATTCCACAAAGATACAGCCAGGCCCAAGTCCGTGACCCCCTAATGCAATAAAATGAGGTAACAAAGTGAAAAAGAAAAATGGAAAATGTGAACCCTCTGGGCCATGAAAACACTGAATATTAAAGCGCCAGGGGTGAGGCCAGAATGGACAAAGAGAAGTGGGGCTTGAATAGAAAGTAGATAAATGGCTAGCTGTCACCTCAAATAGTGACCCCAAAGGAAGGAGTGAAAGAAGGGTTACCAACAAATCACAAAGTTAAACCCTACACTTGCCCGTTTTACACTGGACCAGCTTTTTTGGAAAGCCAAAATAGACTTTTTTTTTTTTAGGGAGCAAAGGGGCAAGTGGGAAAATCCTAAGCAGACTCCCTGCTGGGCACAGAGCCCAGCACAGGGCTCCGTCCCACAACCCTCAGAGCAGGACACTCAACCGACTGAGCCACACAGCCAACCCTGAACTATACAACTCTTGATACAAAAAACCGCCAGGGGCTGTGAGAAACCGAAAAGGAGGTACTTAACGCACACAGATTTCCAGGGTGGGGACGATCTGCCCACACAAATCCGAGGGAAGAACGAAGCTCTCCTCGTACAAAACTGGGAAATGCTGTGAGGTTTTGGAAGTATTTTCAGATAGATATTCCATCATTACCTCTGTGCAACCTGACAGGACATCGGGCCCAGAGAGTTGCACCTGGAAATCATCCCGGAGCCCCAGAGCAACGCCCGCTTTCAGCCCGCCTTCTGCTTCCTTTCAGCCGAATTACTTCCCAAATAAAGCTGGTCTGCACTTAGCAGATGAAGTATTTTATTTACTCCTGTTGTCATGTGGTGCTCTGACCCCCTCATGACCTCACTCTGTAAGGTTTTCATCTCTCATAACCTTCGTGCGACTGGACCACTAAGTACGACACATTTTTCTTTTAAGAGCCAGGCCCTGCCGGTTCGATTCCACCACTCAATCTACAGACACGGTCTCCTGCCCCAGCTTTGCAGCCATGAAAGGTCATTGAAAACCCAGAAAATTTTACCAGAACTATTGTCATTCACAGCCAACAGCTAGTCCGATGTAAAATGTCACAATTATAGGGATTTTCTTTCCTCCCCAACCTGTTTATAACATCTCCCCTTAAGAGGGCACCTGAGTGACTCAGTCGGTTAAGCATCTGCCTTCAGGTCAGGTCATGATCCCAGGGTCCTAGGGTCGAGCCCCTCATGGGGCTCCCTGCTCAGTGGGGAGTCTGCTTCTCTCTCTGCGCCTTACCCCACCGTGCTCTCACACTTGCTCTTAAATATTTTTTAAAAATATCCTCCCTTAAGGAAAATTGCCTGGTTTTGTGAAGGAGGGCTTATCAGATCTAAACTCAGTCGCAGGCAGTGTTTTCTGCTGCAAACTTTACACCCTGGAAGGTGCAGAAAGGACCAGAGTTCCTCTAGAAATCAACATCCAGTGACTTAAAACCTTTTGGCCCCCGTCCACCTCTTCCCTTCACCCCAGCTTACCTTTATCCCCGTTGGCTAGTCTGAGGGTTTCTTCACAGGTTCGGAGTGAGCAGACTATCACTTCCTTTCCTTCCGTAGCTCTGCTGCTGCTCCGACTCACCCCCTCCGTCTCCCCTAAAGAGAGAAGAAACTCCCGTGTCACTGGGGGAGCCAGAGGGCCCAACACCGGAGCTCTTGCGTCTTAAAACGTCGTCTGCCTTCTGCTTACACTTTATAAAATGTAGGTCTGTGGGTTCTAATAAATTTTTAAAATCTGGTTCTTGTTCAATTACTGGTCACCCCGGCCAGGCGTCCTGTGACTGACACCCCCCCCACCACAGAACCCCACCCCTGGAGGGCTCAGCAGGCTGGGCAGCCTTGTTCCACGGGCCACAGTGGAGTCGAACCACCCAGAACCACCGCTTTCAGGGGTTCCCAGCCCAGGACCCAAGAAACCCACAAAGCTAGATGTGAAGTTGTACACAAGAACATTTTCTGGGAAGTCAGGCCGGCTTTCATCAGGTTCTCCGAGGGGACTGCAGACCCCTCCCCCCCACCCGAGAATTTCCTGCCACGCGCTTGTGCCTTTTAAGCCAAGCCATGAGCTGCCTTGTGTTCACAGTGCGTGTTCACAGGGTACTCTGGGGATGGCATCACCTTCCCCGGGAGAGAAGAACCGGTCCCCGGCTCACGACGACCCCAAGAGGAGGTCCTCCACCCCAGCACCCCACTTCAGAGTAGAGGCCCCACATTCAGACAGATGGCGCTTTCCCCTCTGCATTTACGCGACAAACCGACTTACTGCAGACCGGCTCTGGCCGCCGTGGACGAGCAATGGCTCCCCCCGTGTGGGCACAGCCTGCGGGCAGGTCCAGGTCCGCGGGCTGCAGCAGGCGGCGTCTTGCCTCCCCACTGAGGGCCTCTGCTTCGGGCAGCGGCTGCGGCGCCCAAGAGCTTCTGGCCTTGGCCTGGCCGGGGCTGCCTCTGCCGCGCGGTGGCGGCTTCCCTGTCGCTGGGCTTCCGCAGGCACCAGGCAGGGCAGGCTTTCAACCTCCGATGCTCACTGCGGGCTTCAGGCAGCGGCCTTGCCGCCCCGGCTTGGCGCCTAGGGAGGCAGGAATGCTCCTGCTCCCCGCAGCACCGGGACCTGAGCCTGGCGCATCTTCTCTTGCCCTGCCCACTGCCAGGACAGACGCTGCCCCGTACCCCCTGCTGAGAGAGGGACAGAAGCTGCCACTCAGCATCTCCCTTGCCCTGACTGCTGCTCTGGGGCTGACGATGGAGGTGGCTGGTCCCTTGCTGACTTGGTTGGATGAGAGGGAGGAACCACCGGGCCAAGGTCATCTGCTCCTGAACCCCGGCTGGCACTTGCCTCCCGATTCTGGAAGAGCCCAGAGACAAAGGCAGTGCTAATGCCCTGGGAAGTTGTGGTTCAGAAACAAACAAAAACAAAAAACAGAAACAAAACCTGGCTCCTCCGGCTCCTCTCCAAGGCCTTCCCAAGGTCACCGTGTGGGAGGACAGCTTGCAAAGCAGGTGTTTGCAAAACCCTTGCCAAGATGACTTGTATTTTTAACTCTGTCAGCCTACGGAAGTCACTGCCATTCCCGGCGCTGCGGCTTAGCCTCGGCAGGCAGGTGGGGGCGGGGGGCAGGGGCAGGTGCACAGGTGCCCCGCCCCCCATGAGCAGAGCACAGACAATGCAGTTGTTTTGTTCAAGTCAAGCAAGAGGGTGTTCGGCCAGTACTGGAAGCTGTTGTGATTGTACGTTATTCCCTTATCCATAATTTACGTTTAACACGGCTGTAAGGATGTGTCCCCCGAGCCTCGCCTACCAGATTTCCATGACACAGCGCTTTGGGGAACCTACCAAACCGATGCATTCACGTCAAATTGCCAGATTCTTTTAACAACCAAAAGCTGAGATCCAGGAACTTCTCCCGTGGATGACGCAGCGGCAGGGGACCGGGCCCCACGTGCGACCTGAGCGCTGACCCGCACGCGCACCCTCCCCAAGCTCGATGCCCTCCAGGCACAACCGCACTCCCCTCAAATATCGGACTTAGCACTGATTTCTGCCCCTTTCCTCTGAGCTGCCGGTGTCATTCCTGACGCACCGAGGCCTGTTCAACAAGCGCTCCCGCTGACTCACCAGCCTATCTGTTTCAGAACAAACTCCAAAACACGCAACCCTCCCTTCAGGTGAGCTGCCCCACCGAGCACCCGGGGGCCAGCAGGGGGTGCTGGGCAGCCAGAAAGCCCCTCCCAGGCACACTCACTGGTCCAGCAGATAACAGATGCAGTTTCTGAGTCTTACACCCTTCCTCTGCACAGACCACACGGCCCCAATGGCCGTCCCGAGACCTGTCCCCCGTGCCTGCAGCAGCGACCTCCCTGCTAGACTGGGGGGATTTAACCTGCCCTTTCTAGAAGCCGGTCTGCACCAACTGACAGCAACCCTGATCATTCCCCCAAAGGACCGAACAAGCAAAACCACCACCTCACGCTCTTAGCTCGCTGGGAGCCGGCGGGCAGGCTCCCGGACGACGCTGCAGGCCACTCTCTGATGGAAGTCGGCCCTACCCCTGCCTCAGAGCACAGCCTCGGTGACTGGGACCAACCGAGCCTTCTTTGGAGCAGCACAGACCGGGCCCATGGTGAATGACTCTCATTTTAATTAGCTGTTTAAGTAAGCTGTGGCCCTCAATGGTCTGTAGGCCCCGAGTGGCTGCTTCTCCCAAACCAAAACCCAGAGCACCGGGGCTGATGGAACATTATTTATAAAAACACTTTCCATTAGTGAGCTACCTTTGTGGAGAAACAAGACATCGCAGCAAACTGGGAGAGTCCCAGAAGATGCAGGCGTACAGTGGCCGTGCCAACTGTCCTGCAGCTCAAAGTCAAGGAGAGTCCCACCCGCTTGGGGGTGGGGGAGGGGAGAAGGCGGCCTCCTCCAGGCTGCAGGGGGCTCCCTCAGCAGAGATACTGCTGGGAGAGCTCCGGATTCCACATAGCAGGCGATCCCGGCGATGCTAGATTCTCTCCCCTGGCAGCTGGGAAACCCAGGGCGTGAGCGGGGCAGTTCCGAGCCGCCCAGGAAGGCAGGGGCTGCAGCAAGGCCCGTTGTGTCCTGCTCCCACTCCAGGAAACTGCCTGGCTGGCTCCTTCCCAGTTCAGCGGCCGCCAGATGGCTGGCACCTGGAGGCGGGGAAGCCGAGGCCTCTGCCGTCGCCCCCCACCTACTGCTTTGGAAATGTCAAAACACTGGCTGAGGAAGCGCTCGTCCTAGCAGCAGAGTTCTGGAAGTGACTTCACACCGCCCCTGCTTCTCACAAAGGGGCCGCGCTGCCTGACAGCCGTCCACCCTGACCCCGGGGTGTGGAGGCCGGCACCCCTCAGGCCCCGGGGGGCAGTCCTAGGCACCGACTCCCAACGGGACACCAGCAAGGGTCTGCTCTCGCCCCCAAGGTCCTCCATGAGGAGCGTTGGCCAAACCGCCCCCACCAAGGGGCACCAGCCTCGCACGTCCGCCCCGCACTCGGCCACGCTCCCCCTTCCGCCCACCTCGCTGCCCCGTTTCACCTTCTCCCTTGAAGGACGACAGGAAGCTTGTCCTCAGCACTCCAGTCACTTGTGTCCACACAAACAGCCCCGGAAAGAGGTCGAGGAAACGGGCTGACCTGAGTGCCTCCGGGAAGGACAAGCCAGGGCCTGGCGGGCCCAGGACCAGGACCACGGGGGTGCCCTCCTGCGCCTTTCACGTTCTGAACCCCGACGCCCAGGTCTGAGATGAAGCACACAGGAAACAAAGCAATGGGAACGCAGAAGGCCAACAGCCGCAGCTGTCCATTACCAGAACCTTCTTGGGAGGCTAGAAAGGAACCTCCCAGCGAGTCTGGATGGAAGGAACCGAGCAAGGAGACCTAGAACACCACTAGCGGTGAGTGACCACAGTGACAACAGCCACTCTGAGCGCCAACTCCGAGCATTCAGCCCAAGCCCGGCCTCTGCTGACCCACCGGCCACAGCCACCAACCAGATGGACAACCTTCACTTCCCTGCCCCCACCACATGACAGGTGACTCTGGAGCTGTCGGAGCCCCTCCCCTGGGACACTCACCTGCCCTGCTGCCACCACTGGGGGCAGCCCCATGCTGGGCCCAGGAGGGTGTCAGCAGCCAGGCCTCAAGTCCAGCACTCCTGGTAGCATCGGCGGGCTCGGGCGTGTCACCGCGGGTTCCCCTCGTCCTCTCCTCCAGCCCAGACACTCAGTCACAACCTGAGTCCCAGCCACCACAGAGCAGGGAGCAGCCTGCCTCCCCTGACTGCCCAGCACTCGTGCAGCGAAAAGAGCGAACCCTTCACCCAAATATAATCAGAGAACGCGAGGGAAAACCTCCTCTCTGCCAAACCAGCCTTTGGAAATTAGCCGCTGCCTGCTCACGTTCAGCCTCGTGCCACCAAGTGGCCGTGGGGACCAGACAGGAGCCACGTTCATTAACAAACCAACCGTTTTCTTTTTTATTAGAGATAAAAACAGCGAGGTCCCAGGTACCACACCCTCGGGAAAACAAGACAGCGGAGGAGTGGAGGCTATTTACACGAGCGGTGGAAGGAGCCGGGCGGCCTCGGGCCCCACGGGAGGCTGTGGGCACAGCGTGGCCTCTGCAGGGGGCAGACGGTCAGTGGCAGAGGGCGATGGTTTCCATGTTAAGGAAGCGCACGTGCATCTTGGTCTCGATGTCTATCCCCTGCCAGATCTGCAACGGACAGAGCAGCATGAGCACGTGTCCCCGTCATGGCCCGGGTCCCCGCCCGGGTCCCCCCTGCCCGCCCCGCCACCAGGGCAGGTGAAAACCAGAGGGTTGTTCTCAAGACTGTGAGCTAACCGACGAAGAGGAACTTCCATCTGCCTTTCTGCGGGTTAATTTGGCTCTGACATTTGGATCCTTTCTGATAATTGTCACAGCAAGTTATTAAGTACGGAATCCGAGCTCTTAGCTCCGAGGCATTTCAATCCCACCCACCCCACTTCGGGCTCCATGATTTTCATGCAAATTCCTTAACCCCACTAAACCTCCTCTTCATCAGTACAATGCGGAGACCCCCACCTGCGCTGCCCACGTAAGTCACGCAATGCTGGGGGCTCAGATGCAATCATCCGCGGGAACGTTCTGGAAGCTGTTAAGCACTGTGCAGCTGCCAAATTTTATTCAGCCACCTTCCTTCGTTAAAAGGTCACAGCAGTTTGGTCTTTTTAACTTCTCTGGGATAGGTCACCTGGTTCTACGGAGGCAAGCTTTTCCCCGGGAAGGGTCATCTCTGCCCACAGATGTCCACTGCCACATACCTACCTGGTCCTGGTTCTGCCGTTACAGTCCATCCGGGCCAGGGCTCCAGGGGACCCCTCGGCCACCCGATCCCATCTGCCACACTACAGAGCCAGCCTGCCCCCCACTCTCAGGACTGCACTTGCCAGCTCCTTGGCCCTCGGGGGCCACCCATCAAAAAAGGGCTGGATGCGGTGGGCGTGACTGGTCCCTCTGCTCGTGTGAGAGGTGCAGACTCTCTCGGGCTGTCACCTGCAGCCCCCCCCGGGGATGGTCACCAGGCTGTAGGCAGCCCTGTCGGCACCCTGGCTGCCATTCTGGCCACTGTCACACACCCACCATGCCCCAGCAGCTTTGTGGTCTCCTGCACCTGTTCTGGGTGTGGCGGGGTCTGGCGAGCGTGCAGAGCGATCAGACCTGGCTCCCTGGGAACAGCTCCAGGCCTCGTTCCCAGCCAAGCTAGCTGGGCACCCAGGGTGCTTCCTGCTAAATGCTGGGTGGCAACAGGGGCACTGGTGAGGCTCAGGGGAGTGGAAGGGCCAGCTGATCGGGAAAGGCCTCCGTGGTGTGGGGCGGGCTTGGGGAGCAGTGGAGGCATGGGGGTGGCAGACAGGCGAAGACTTCTGGGGCAGAACCCGCCCAGCCCGGGTGTGCAAGGAAAGGAGGCTGCACACCTGGGCCCAGAAGCTTGTGTCGCCTGCCGCCGCCTCTGCAGGGCGCGCTGCTGCTGGCCAGGTGAGCTGTGCAGCCTGGGAGGAGCGCCCATCTGAGCCGCCCCTGGGCTCCATGGGGCTGTGACCACCCACGTCCTGGCCTGGCTCCAGGCCCGGGCCCGTCCCTTCCCTCGGGCCGGTCAGTGGCTGGCACAGTGCCCTGGGCCAGAGCCTTTGGTCCTGTTCCCTGACTTCCTGTCCTTCCTCAAATTCCAGAATGACCCCCTGTCAGGGTACTCAGAGCCAGGCAGAGGACGGAGCAAGCTCATCTCCCTCCGCTGGGTCTGTACCCATCAGAGGAGTGAGGGGTCCTGCTTCCCGAGCTATGAGCACAGCTGTGACAGCAGACGCTGGGTATCCCCCCGTGGGGGCTGGGAGGGTGGGCAGCTACATCCAAAGCACCTTCTCTGAGGCACAGGAAAACCCCACATGGAGTGCTTCTGGGAAAAGCTAGTTCTCATACAGGCACAGAACACTCCAGAACCTGGTTCCAACTGTCAGCAGCGAGGCTTCTGACAAAGGGGGCCGGGGACTCGTGGGGGAGAGACAGGTGTGGCTGGAGCCCTTCTGGTCTACCTCAGGTGCCCCGACCGCAGGTGAAGAGGACTCTCCCCATAAAATCAAGTAAAGCCAATGCTTTAAAGGTCACGCCCAGGTATGACCCCTTTCCGCAGAGAAGCGGGTCTCCTCCTGACCAGCGTGCACCCCCTTGAGCCCCACTGCTCCTCCTAGACACCCACCTTCAGGAAGTCGTCGAAGGTGATCCCCTCATAAACCTGGTCAGGCTCCTGGGGACAGAGCACATGCAGAGTGAGCGGCTTCCACCAGGAGACCCCCCCCCCAAGACACAGACGCTGGGGCCCCTTTAATCAAGAGAAGAGGGGGTTCCTCCGGACTGCTGCCTCCAGCTTGAGGCCATCACACTGAACTCCGAAGTCCCCTTCATTGGCATAACAACACGACAGAAGCAGGGTACAGGCTAACTGGGGACCCACCCGAGCCCCCCAGGGGAGACCCGGTGGATGAGGGTGTCAAGAAAGGGGGAGCAGAGAGGCATGGACTCCCCTCCCCTCAGCCACCAATGGACACACCTCCTGCCATTTCCTGGTCCTGCCCCACTGCACCCGCACTGACCCTGTGAGCTCAGAGACCACTGGGGCAGGGGTCGGGGGGGGGGGAGGGCTGGCTTCTGCGGCCCAACCCTTGTGCCCAGTGAGTCACCACGATAAGGGTCACCTGCGGGGCGTCTCCCCCAGTCAGTCATGGTCAGTGCCAGTCTCCAGGTGCGTCTGTCCCACTCTGGGCACACACGGACCTCATGAGGCCAGAGGTGGGGCTCCTGCCCCTTATGCTATCTCAGGCTCTGGCACAGCCAAGCCTCCCCAAACCTCACCCCTGCCTGCAGCACCCTTTGTGACAGGGACCGCCCAGCCACCATCCATGTCCATCCTCAGGAGACCAGCTAAATAAATCTTGGGCATCTGTGCTGTTGAGTACTAAGCCGCCACTAAGAAGGGGTCGATCTCTACGTGCAAGTACAGTAAAGGCTCTGAGATAGAGAGTGGGAAAAACCAAGCAGAAAGACGGCGGCAGGTCCATGAACCCAGGCCAGTCTGGTCCCGTCCTGCTAACCAGACACCGTCTGCCACCGACCGGCCCGTGGAGGTGGGGAGGTCAGCACGGAGAAGAGGAGAAGCAGTCTGTTCGATTCCATTTTGTGTAAATCAGAAATAAAAGATGTACATGTCCACATTGGTGTATGTTGGGGAACAAAGCCCACGAGGGTGGTTCCCCAGAGGGAGAAAGGCACAGAGAGCGTACGCCTCTCCGGCATCGTCCTGATGTCTGTCTAAGCAAACAGCAGGCGCCCTGAGCACCTGCCACACGGGTCCCGTCCTTGCTCCCATTTTACAGAGAAGACCACTGAGGCACATGAAGCCAGGCCCCCCGTCCAGCTGGGAGGCTCCAAGAGCCTGGCTGGAAACCACAAAGGGTGAGGAACACGAACACTGGTTTTTCATACAAAAAACTTATCTATGCGCACTTCCAAGTTTTGTAAATGTGACCAGTTCTCAAACGCCGCAGGGGCCTGCCCGCCCTGGGGCTCCCGGCTCTTCCTGCCCAGGCGCATGGGGAGTGGTGGGGACCCTGGGGACCCGGGTTGCTGTCGAGGAGAGCTACTGAGAAAGAAGTTTCCATAGCCCCGGCTGCAGGGCACCAGCAGAGGGAGGGCAGGGGAAGCCCCCAGCAGAGACCCCAGCCTAGCAGCCCCCCACGCCCCCAAGCCACAGGAGCTTCCAGACAGAGTGCTCTGGAAAGCCAGCACGGCTCCAGTCAACGGCTGGCTCAGGAAGGGCAGGAACGCAGCTGACGGAGCTTCGGTCCGGGGCGGGCGGGGCGGGCGGGGCGGGCAGCGCGGGCAGTGCGGGCAGCGGGGCAGGCCCGCTGAGCGTCCCCCGTGGCCGCCTGCGTGCATCCCAGCCGCATGGCCCGTCCCGGCCCTGCAGGCAGATACAAGCGCACACGGCTCATCCGTGTAACCGGCCAACGTTTGCAGGAGAGAATATTTGAAAAGCACCCAGAGGACCCGTAAATCAAGAAAGGCGCTCGGGATGCACCCCCAGGGAGCAGGCCTGGGCTTGGAGATGCCCCCGCTTCTGAGGTTGTGCGGATTTTATGCAGATCCGCAGCCGCCAGCTGCCAGCGAGTTTACTATGGCAAATTAAGAAAACTGTCACCAATGGAAACCGGAGTGGGACGGGGAGCCGTTGAAAGGAGGAGAGTGTAATTAAATCAAATGGGAGTTTGGCTCGACGACACGGCAGGGGATCCCTGCGCGCCCCGCTGAGGTCACCAGCCCTCTCTGCGGCAGTTAATTTGCTGAGTGGGGTCGTTTCACTGAAGCCAGAAGCCTGCCCGCCCCAGGTCTGAGAAGCAGACAGAGAAAACGCAGCCCGGTACAGTGACCGCAGCCCCTGCCCCTGGGAGCAGGCCCGGGCCTGCCAGGCCCCTCGACGATGGGCGTGGGGCACAAGGAGCCGGCTCCGGCAGGAAGACGCCCCTCCACTCAGGCCGGGGAGGTGTGTGGGGCCACGTAACACTGTGTGAGGAGCTGACGGCCTCCGCGGGACCAGCCAAAACCCTCAGCGAACAAAGTCACAGAGATGGTCAGGTGCCTGCCCTCGGGGTCCCTGGGGCTCAAAGCCACCGTGTCGGGGGCTAGCCGGGCTACACCCAGCCCTCCAAGAGCGAGTCCACCAGGCATAGTAAAGAGAGTTGCCCCCAAATTCCAGAAAGTTCTTTATGTCCCCAGGCAAACGTGAGACCACAAATCTATGGAATGATGTGTGCACAGGCCATGTAGCCACCCGCGGGGACAGGAACGTCGGGGGTGCCTGGCCTGCCTGGGGCATAGCTGCAGGTGCCTCCACGTGCCCAAGCTCCAAGCATGTGCATGACGGTCGGCCCACTCAGTCGCCCTGCCCACCGTCTATGTCAGTACCCCTCTAGTTAATGGTCCTTCACTGGGGACCATCCCGTCTGCCCACCAGGGACATCTGGCCATGTCTGCAGATGTTCTTAGTTGTCACAACTGGGAGGGACTGGCATCCAGTGGGTGGAGGCCAGGGACGCGGCTGAACAGGACAGTCCCCCCACCGACAGCTGTCCCGCCCCACGTGTCGCCAGGTGATGCGGCCCTGCTCTAACCGGTCCGGCACAGTCCTGAGAAACACCCCAGCCATCTCGACACCAGCACGACCCCAACAAGCCTCCAGGGGTCCTCAGCACCCGTGCAGAGACCCCGATCCTCAGCCCTGTGGCCGGCCCTCGGCCGCACGTGACGCCTCCGTGGCCACACCTGCCTCTGGCCCCCACATCTCTTCTGGGGCCAGCGGGGGGCTCCCCTCCATAGGTGCCAGCCCTGAGGCCGAGTCTCGTTGACACACATCCCCACTCCCAACTCCACGCCGGGGCGCCAGATGAAGGACCCGAGGGGAGCTCCTGCTGACCCCGTCCATCTCAAGGCCAGGAATCCCCTCCCAGCCACTTTAGATGAACAACGGTCTGATGAGCTGATGGGCAGACTGTGGGGGAGGCGACAGCACTAGGGATCTCCCCGCGGGGCCTTCTAGAAACAAGCCGGGCAAGGCGGGGCAGAGGCTGGTCGGGGAGAGGGGCTCGGGGGTTCCGGGCCACGGCTCACCATCTGCCCCACGCACACGCTGGCTGCCTCCATCATGGCCCCGTCAGCGATGGAGCGGGCCGACTCCTTCTCGATGTGTGGGTTCCCCGAGAGCAGCTCCTCCACCACCTGCCGGGCGAGGCAGACACACGGTGACCTTGGGGCTCAGTCCGGGCCGCGGGCGGGGAGGGGCCAGGAGCCCTGGCCTGCGGGCCGAGGAGCATACTTTACATTTCGATACTCTTCCAGGGTGATGCGGCCGTCGCTGTCCGAGTCATACATGTGGAACAGAACTGGGGACGGCAGGGGAGAGAGAGAAAGGGGGGCTCGGTCAGACGAGCAGGGAGGGGAGGCCCACGTCCCCCTGCTTCCCCAACCCTCCTGCTCGGAAATATACCTCAAAATGAGCAAAAGACATCCACAACGACCCCAATGTGGCCACTGCAGGGATCAAGGACCAAGGCCGTGGGCCCAGACTGCCTATATCCTGCTGGGTGACCCTGGAAAAGTGACCTAACTTCTCTGAGCCTCAGCTCTCCCATCTGTCGAATGGGAAGAACAACAACAGCACCTACTTCAAGGTGTTGCCCAGACTCCGGGAGCCCCAGAGCTGGCGGGTCAGGACCAGCGAGCGATCCCTGCACACGCTGAGCACAAGCTAATGGACAGACAGATCAACGTTATTTCAAAGTCTCATTCCTTGCGGCGCTGGCTGGCTCGGTCACAAGAGCGTGGGACTCTTGTTCTTGGGGTGGTAAGTTTGAACTCCGCATTGTGTAGAGAGATTACTTAAAAATAAGATTTGGAGGGCGCCTGGGTGGCTCAGTGGGTTGAACCGCTGCCTTCGGCTCAGGTCATGATCCCAGGGTCCTGGGATCGAGTCCCACGTCGGGCTCTCTGCTCAGCAGGGAGCCTGCTTCCCTTCCTCTCTCTCTGCCTGCCTCTCTGCCTACTTATGATCTCTGTCTGTCAAATAAATAAATAAAATTAAAAAAAAAAAAAAAAGATTTGGAGGGGTGCCTGGGTGGCTCAGTCATTGGGCACCTGCCTTTGGCTCGGGTCATGGTCCCGGGGTCCTGGGGTCGAGCCCCATGTCAGGCTTCCTGCTCCGCAGGAGACCTGCTTCTCCCTCTCCCACTTCCCCCCTGCTTGTGTTCCCTCTCTTGCTGTGTCTGTCAAAAAAATAAAATCTTTAAAAAAAAAAAAATTTTTTTTTTAATCCTCATTCCTCAAAGACCCAAGCAGGCAGCTATCATCGGCGGGTCATGGGCTACACTGCCGATACCCCGGCCCCTGGCTGGTCTGAGCCAGCCCCCGTGGGCACAGGCTGGGACACCAGAACCTCCTCTCCTCTCGTTAGTCCACTTTGTGTCATTTGCTTTGTGCCTCTATGCACCCGGCCGCCCAGCAGAGGCCAGGAGCCAAGGGGGAGGCAGCCCCTCAGCCCCACCAGCTCAGCCTGCAGCTCTCCAAGTCCCTGTGCTGGAACTGATCTGGCACCGACTGGACACCCCGGGCAATGTGCAGCAAACATCTTCACGTCTCATCTGTATGTGACCCCATGCGGCGAGGCTGCCCTGAGCCCATTTCACAGACTGTACTCTGCAAGCTCAGAGAAGTTAATGGGTTTGCCTGCGGCTGCCCTGTTAAGGAAAGGGAAACCAGGGCCCCCACGACCTCTGACCTGGCCTTCAGAGCAGGTGGGACACTAGGCCGACACCGGGCTTCCCTACTGGTCCAGAGTACCAGAACGGGGGTACTCGGGGGCCCCCAGCCCTGGCGGTTCCCACCAGCCCTCACGTACGCATTCCAGAGCTAAATACAGCCGAGTCCCCATGTTTACTTGTTTCCGCTAACAGGGCTGAGCCTCGGGTGGCCTTCAGCGGGGGGTCAGGAGTCCTGGGAAAGTCCACACGGGGGAGGGACACATGACACAGGCCACCCCGGGACCCTGTGCTGCTGGCCAGCCCGATCACAACCAAGCAGGCTCCGGAGCCCAGGGACCAGGCAGTGCCCTTAGCACCTGGGTGAGCTCCCCGAGCCTCAGAACCCACATGTGTTCACCATCAGCGTCCCGTGTCCTGGTTCAGGGTGACACAGCTGCTTGGCGGAAGGGCCCAGGTCTGTCTGAGCCAAGGGCCTTGCTCTTCTCACGGCCCCCGAGAGCCTCAGCCGCCATGGCCCAACCTGGGGGAGAAACACCCCCTGGGGGCCTCTGTGGGTATCGTCAACTGAGACTGAGCACCCAAAGGACGCGGGTGGGCATTCCCTGCCCCTCCCCTCCACACTCGCCTCCCCCCACCCCGCGCCGGCTGCAGGGGTGCGGCGGGACCTGCGAGACACAGCCCGCCCCACGCGCACGCACATCTCAACTTCTCTTTGCGGCACAGCTGCACCTGCTCCTCGTCCATGGTGGTGTCGATGGGCCGGAAGTAGGACATGATGGTCAGGAAATCCTCGAAGTTGATCTCGTCGGCCAGGCCGCTGGACCCCTTGCGCAGGTTCCTACAGGAGCCGAGAAGGGAACAGGAGAAGCGTGTGAACCCCGGGTCCTGTCCCTTCACCTGCGGGGCCTCAGAGAACCCAGCCCTTCTGGGCCCACATGTCACCCACTATGGCCCTCTTAGCTTTGGGATTCCGTTTCCCAGCAACCTGCTTGCAGGGGCGGGGTGGGGGATGGTCCCCGAGGTCTGGCCCAAGCCCGGTGCTGCCCTCCCAGAGCTCAGCACAAGGGGGCTGGTGAGGGCTGGGGTGCACAGGGATGGGCACTCCCATGTGGGGAAACCAAGGCCCCGAGCAATTCGGTAACTCATGGAGCCACCTCTCCTGACCCTTCCCTTCAGACCCGAAGCTGGCAAACCGCTGTCCACGGGCCAGCCCTGCCCGCCACCTGTGTTTGTCCAGTCCATGCACGAAGGGGCTTCAGATTTTTACATGGTTGACAAAATTGGGGGAACCCCAAATAATAGCCTCTCGCGGCAAAATTTCATAAAAATCACAGGAAATTCAAGTGTCAAGGTCTATAAATAAAGTTTTATTGGCACACAGCCACGCCCATGTAGTTACTCCGCGTCTGTGGCTGTTTTCAGGCCACCGCAGAGCTGAGCCGTGCGACAGACGCTGCATGCGTGGCCCACGAAGCCTGACATATTGACTGTGGCCTTTTACAGAAGAAGCTGGCGGACTACTGCTTGCTCTGGGCGGCTCGCAGCTCCAGTAGCGATGGGCTCAGCAGCGCTGAGTCATCGGTTTACAGCCAAGGCACAAAGTTTACCGATAACTTCAGATCTTTTAATAAGTCAAGACAGGCTAGAGGTTGTCCCAGCGACGTGCATTTCAGAAGGTGCTGGGAGGGGCCCTTTTCATTCCTCATAAAGATGCCCAGTTTTTTTTTTTTTTAAGATTTTATTCATTTATTTGACAGAGTTCACACGTAGGCAGAGAAGCAGGCAGAGAGAGAGAGGGAAGCAGGCTCCCCGCTGAGCAGAGAGCCCGATGCGGGGCTCAATCCCAGGACCCTGGGATCATGACCCGAGCCGAAGACAGAGGCTTTAACCCACTGAGCCACCCAGGCGCCCCCCACAAGGATGCCCAGTTTAGAGCAATCTTTCTCATCCTGAACTTTATGACGATCCTGTAAGGAATGGAGCCCTTGGAGGTGGGGAAGGGCTCACCCCACCCTCCAAGGCGGCTCCTCTGTCCACAGTCCGGGTCCGCAAGGGTCTTAGGAAGCCAGGTTGACCCTGGTCTGTCTTGAGAGGAAAACCCTGTCTCTGGACCCCACTCCAAAGTCCTCCCCTCACCCCCTCGGAACTTCCAGGACAGGAAGCGAAGGACGTGGGGACACCTGGGTGGCTCAGTTGGTTAAATATCTACTTTCGGCTCAGGTTCCGGGACTGAGCACGCCTTGGGCTCCCTGCTCGGAGGGGAGCCTGCTTCTCCCTCTGCCTGCTGCTCCCCCTGCTTGTGCACTCGCTCCCTTTCACACAAATAAAGAAATAAAATCGTAAAAAAAAAAAAAAAAAATGAAGGATGGAGAAGGGTATACAGGCTCTTGGCCGCACGCCCCCAGGGCCAGCCCTTCCTCAATCTGGCCCTCTTCACAGATTTCCACGCTCCTGCCCCACTCACCCACCTGCCACCCTCCCCAGGACCAGAGGGAGCTTTGCAAAAACGCAAATTGGACCCTATTTCTCCCCTGCTTCAAGCCCTCCAGAGGCTTCAAATCTCAGTTGTTAAGTCCCAATCCCTCCCCCTACTCCCCCGGGCCCCAGAAGGTGGGTGTTGGTCTCACCATCCACCCCGGCCCAGCCCCAGACAACCCCTCCTGCCACTCTCCAGTCTGCAGGGGTCCCCCCAGGTTTGGTTCGACGTCCACCTTCTGGACACTCAACATTCCCCCACCGACTCACGTCCCTGCCCCTCCCTCCCTGCAGGTAGCACCGCACCTGCCCCAGCCCTCCGGTGGCTGTCCTGACTTCCGACCCTCCAAGTAAGGGGGGTGTCTCTCCCGTCTCTGACTGGCTGCCCTGGAGTCCAGTGGCTGCCTGCATGGGCCCTACCTTCCTGTCTCCTAGCCAGACAGAGGCCACAGCTCCAGCCCCACGCCCACACCCTGTCCCCTCAGCAGAGGCCACCACTCATAGGCAGCAGCCCAGCAGATACCTGAAGGCCACCCCGCGAGCCAACAACACAGCTCCTGGAGCCACGCCCTGTTCCCAGGGGTGACGGATGAAAGCCAAGCTCAACCCAAGGTCAGATTTGTTTTAATAAATAATTACACACCGTCAAAGGCACAGATTTTGCATTTGAACAGTGTGCACCTGTGCAACCCACGCCCCAGTCAGGACCCAGAATATTTTCCTCCACGCCAGGAGCGCCGTCTCTCCAGTCTGAACACACTCCCTGCTAGGGCGCCAGGGAGGGTCAGGGGACCCGCCTTGCTAGGCCCTGGCCCAGGCCAGCCCCACCAGCCCCGCCAGCCCCAGGAGGCAGCTGGTACGAGCAGGCCCCCGCCCTTGCCCCTCCCTCGCTCACCTCATGCCACGGGAGCCACCAGCCCCCCGGCTCCGCCCCACAGAAGGCTGCGTCCCTGATAGCTGGCCAGCTTCCCGAGGGGCCGGGTCTGCACAGAGCCTTGAGGAAACAAGCCTCACGGACACGTGCTGGCAGGCGTGGCCCATCCTCACGCACACTCTCGCCTCATGCCAGGCACTCCTGGGCTCTAGTCGCTCTGTGACACCTTCAAGTTCAGACCCCAACATCCGTGTCAACTCCATGTCGGGGGAGACCTCCCCCAGTGTGGCCCCCATCACCACCAGTCAACCCCTCCCCACCCCCGGCGCTGCCTCCTGCCCACCCCAGGCCTCCTCCCCAGATACTTCAGACAGAACGAGGACCAAAAAGGAGATTCCAACCTCTTCTTCACCAAGGACCGTGTGCGATCCCCTCTGGCAAAGGTGCCAATCATCTGTGTAGATTTCTCTGACACTGGTTGCTCACCTCCAACCCCAGACCCAGCCTTCCCTCTGTCCCCTCTTCTTCCCCCGTAGGTGACACAAAGCTGCCCACTGCTCTCCATCTCCACTCAGCAGCTCTGCCTCCAGCCTGGGGACCACATGACACCTCCTCCTGGGCCTCTGTCACCCACAGCTCACCGGCAGCCGGAGTGTGCGATCCCCACCCTGCCTTAAACCTGTCAGAGCCCCCCACTGCTGCTCCCAGGTTAAGGTTAAGACCTCTCTTGCTGGTCAGGGGGCTGCACACGCTGCAGCTCTGCCCTCCCAACATCTCTCATCTCGCACGGCCTCTCTGTGCTCTGGCCAGACCTCCTTTCTGCCACACACACACTCATTCCACTTTCTTGTGCCACAGGACCTTTGCACATGCCGTTCAGTCCTCCCAGAACACCTTCTCTCTCGGCTTTGTCTAGTTAATCCAGTGGGCCTTGCCCTGTGGGAAGCTGAGGCCACCTACCCCCCCCTCCACACCCATGACGAGGGGAGGCTCAGGGAGACTGAGCACCTTGCTTCAGGCTGCATAGCCTTAGCAGAACCAGAGCTCAGTGGCTCAGGCTCACAAACTTGAAACCGGCCTGGGAAGTCACCACCCATCTACTGGCCACAAGACGCATGTTCCCTTCCTTCCTCTTTCTGCCAGTTCCCCTGGTTTCTCAGCCATCTGTGTAGACATAAGAGGTCAGGCCTGGGGCCCTGGTGGGCTAGGGAGGGCGTATGCCACCCAGCTCTTGATAGAGCCTCAGACACAGTGAGTCTCCACACAGTCACGCAAGTCAGCTCCAACAATGCTGGACATCTGAGGGCATGAGCTCTGGTTGGAGCCTCAGCTCTGGGACACTGCACCACTGCTCTATGCCTCAGTTTCTCTGCACATCAGGGCAACAAGCAGAATGACAGCCAACTCCTTAGTGCACAGCATCTCAGAGCTCCCTCAGCAACTCCTAGAGGCAGATGCTATTGTGACCTCCATTTTACAGATACTGAAACTGAGGTAGCCTCCAAGACAGCTCCCAGTGATTCCAGCCTCTTTGCAGCCAGCGCCCGTGTAGTCCCCTCTCTTCCTGTGGGCTGACCTAGCAACTCACTTCTGATGAAGAGAGCACAGTGAAAACCATGGGATTTCCCTCACAAGATTAGGTTACCAAAAAAATGGGGTCTTCCAGCTCAGGGGTTCAAGCTCCCCTCCTCTCTCTCATGTGGATGTCGCTCTGCGGGAGGCCAGCAGCTGCCATGTGTGAGCAGACCTGGGGGACAGTCCCTGCTTGGAAACAGAGCCTGCCCCGGTCAAGCCTTCAGATGACAGAGGGCCCGGCTGCCCCTGAACCCAAGAACCCGGCTGGTCTGCCCCTGGATCTCTGATGTGCAGGACCAGTGAGATAAGAAGTATTTGTTCGGAACCACTAAGTATCGGGACAATTTGTTATGCGGCCGCAGCTAACTGCTGAATAGGCCTGAGGGACTGAGTGAGCCACCCAGAGTCAACCAGCCATGAACCCAGCGCCGGAGCTGCCTGAGCCCGAGCTGTGCCTCTAACTCCTGCTCAGCGCTGCCCCCTCTTCTCTGTGTTGGCTTCCCGGGCTGTAAGAAGGTGCAAGGGTGAAATGCTCTCTGGAGGCCGAAGTCACCTGCCATCGGGCCGGTTCAGGGACAAAGACATACCTGTTGTCGAAGAAGGCACGGACGATTTTGGATCGGATTGGGTTGAGCTCCAGGTCAGGGACATTGTTGAAGTTCTCCTTGCTGGGTCCCAGGAAGCAGGAGCACCGGGGAAAGAGAGAGGAGGAAAAAAACCAAGGTCCTGTGGTGTGTTAGCACTTACGGGCTCTATTTCTCAATCCCGAGCAGGTCCTATAAGAACGGTCCGGAGACAGGCCTGGAACACACAGCACTGATTGGTCCCCTGCTCTCCCCGCTGACCGCTGGGAGCTGGGAGGATCTGAAAGCTCCGAGATGCTCTGTGTCCCAGACCTTCATCCCCCAGAAAATGCAGAGACACAAGATGTGCACCCCCTTCCGGGGGCTCAGAGACCCCTCCCCCCGAGGCCCATCACAGACCCCCAGTGAGGAGAGCCTGCTTCGGCCAGTCTGGAGTCGGGGTAGCAGACTGCTGGTTTGGGGCTGGAAGACAGGCTGGCAAGACCTCAGCGGGTGGAGGGGAGAGTCAGCCAGGACCCAGCCCTTCCACACCACGCATCCGCCTCCAAACACATCCATGGACGGCAAGAAGCATCACTCGTAGCAGCCACACGCTGCAAACCCCCCAAGGGTCTGTCACCTGAGAAGTAGGTAAATCGCGGTCCATCGAGACAACGGAGTACTATTCAGCCATGAAAAGGAAGGACGCGGGGTCCATGTGGCAATGCAGCTGGGCCTTGAACACATCACAGGGGCTGAGTGAAAGCAGCCAGGCACCAAGACTACACAGTGTGGGATCCCGTTCACACACGATGTCTCAAAGAGGTAGATCCACAGAAACGGAACAGACACCGGCGGTGGCCAGGGACCAGGGCGGGTGGGAACGATGGGCAGGGACCGCTGGGTGTACAGGCTCTCTAGGGGATGATCGAAAGATTCAGAAATCGTGGGGTTGGACGCAGAGCTGCGAGGATACCAAAAGCCATGGAATTGTACATTTTAAGGGCAAGTTGTATGGTATGTGAAGCCTATTTCAGAAAAGCTGTCTAGAAAAAAAAGATGCTGGTGACAGAAGAGGATGAATTTCAAACCCAACAGCACCGTCGCTGGGCAAAGAGGTCACTGGGTAGGGGACAGGCTGAGGGTCCGCAGGTAACGAGGCAGCGAAGGTCCTTACCTGCCTGACCTGCCCACAAAAAGTTATCCTTTGTTCTCAGAATCTGCCTCCCACTCACCTTCTTCTTCTATTCCATGGACTTCAAGGGCCAGTGGCCTTGGGAGGGACCCAAGGCCCTGGCTGGTGACCCCGGGGAGCTAGGAGGCACGCCCAGGCAGGGGAGGTGGGACATCAGCTCCTTAAGCTGAGAGTGTCCGGGGCTGGGGTCGACAACAGAGCTGGGGTTCAAAACTCGAACTCACGCCTGGCGGGAACAAGGAGATGTCACGTACACAGAGACTCAAACACGGAGCTGGAAGCTTTCAGAAGCACATGGTGACCTGTCCTGCCCCCACCTTACAGACGGGGAGGCTGAGGCCCAGAGGGGAAAGGGGAGCCTGGCTCGGGCGCCCAGATGCCTCTGTGACCCCACTGCCACCCCCACACTGCTTCCTGTCCCCGCCCCCAGGGCTCCCGGCGGGGCTGGCTCAGGGGACACCGGGCCAAACTCGGGAGCCAGCGTCCATGGACGCCACATTCTGGATTCCTCTGATCCCAGGGCTGAAGAAGGGGGCACGCTTGGAACAGATGCCTGGCATGACGGAGTACTATTTGGTCACAAGAAGGATCGCAGTGTTGAGGCAAACTGCCACGTGGACCACCTCAAAGGCACGGGACCGAGCAGAAAGCACTGGACACAAATGGTCACATCCCAGAGGATCCTTTTATCTGCGATGACCAGAGTTGGCCCCCCCAGGACAGACCCAGAGGCAGAAGGCAGTCAGCGGGCTGCCAGGGGCGGGGGCGAGCAGGGGTCAGGACAGGTCAGTACAGGCTTTCGTGGCAGGGAGGGGAGAGAGAGTGACAGCAATGTCCTCAAACTGGCTGCGCACTTCAAACAGGTAAACTGTAGAATGTGTTATAGCTCAATAAGGCATCTAAAAAATTTCCCCAAGAGAGGCTGAAAAACCAAAAGCAAAGAAACATTGCACTGTGACCCTCTTATATAAAGAACGCAAGGTACCAGCACTAACCTATGCGGCCCAAAAGCAGGAGAGAGGTCAACTGCTTTCGGGGGTGGGAGGGGACAGCAGGGAGGGACAGGAGGCGGCTCTGAGGCAGACAGTGCTCTGCCTTTGACCTGGGTGGGGTTGGGGTCTGTGTAGGCTGTACAGTCCCCTCTCTGGGAGCTGACACCTTTCTCTGGGTGTGCTGCCCTCCCCACCAGCAGAGCCAGAGACCCCCATGGGAGACCAGAGACGGAATGCCCAGAGACCCCCTACACGGGGACAGGTCAGGTCAGAGGAGCCACATGGAGAGCGAGAGAGAATTCTGGGTGAAGGGAAAAGAAGTGGCCAGCAGATTTGTGGCTGAGACCCCTCAACCCCCCTCTGGCTTTCATTGGTCAGGGGTCCAGGCCACTGCTAATCTGGCCTTGGCCTTGGTTTCCTATCTGCAAAGTGGGCACACAGATGCCATAGACAGAAGCTTTCACACACCACGTGCTCAGTGCCTCGCGCCGCTGGGGTCGGCTCAGGTGCTCAGAGAGCCGTGGGCAGAGCGAGCCGCGGAGCGGAAGGCGTGGTGAGATGTGGGCTGGGCTGGGCTCCTCATCCATTCTGAGCATCTGGCTAATGCCAGCCTCAGTCCCCCTGCCGAGGTGTCCAGACCTCTCAGCTGCTCCCAGGACTTGCCCTTGGATTCTTGGGGAGCATCAAACCCCAGCTGTGCCTTGCTGGGCTGTCAGAGGAGTGGTCCCCCAGAGCGGCCAGAAGCATCCTATTTGGGAACATGCCTGGGATGTGGAAATGGGTCTGGTTAATTCCCCAGAAGGAAATAGCCAGCAACGGGGAAGCTGCAGGTTCTAGGGAGCTGAGAAAGACGGGCCCTGGGCAAGAAGGGATGCGCCAGCAGCCCTCTCCAGACCCCATGAGATCCCATGAAGGGCCAGAAGCTCCCTGGGGCTAATGGTGGAGGAAGGAAGGACCTCGCAGAGCCTGACCACGTGTCTACAGGAGAAAATTAACAAGAAGAGGCCTGACCTCCCACTGTCAGGGGCGGAGGTGAGGCAGATGCTAGGAATCCGGCTGGGGGCACAGCGTCCCGGGTCGGGACATCACAACCTCCGGCAGGTCTCTGCAAGTGTCTCTGAAGCCCAGCTGTCCTTACTCCTCAGTCCTCAGACGCCCGCTGGACCCACACTCAAACCTCAGCTTCCTCACACGGGCACCTGACAGACATTCCATGGTCAGTTTCCTCATCTGTGAATTCGGGGGCTGCACACCCAGCACTGCCCACAGCAGAGGGGCCATGAAATCAAGCACACCCGGGGCTGGTTCAGGATCTGCTCCTGACCAGGCGCGTGCCCTTGGGCAAGGCTCAGTTTCCTCAGCTGTAGAATGGGGGTCATGGGAATGTCTGGATAGTGTCACAGGGTTGACAAAATTAAGAAATCCGGTAAATACTCATAGGGAGCTTAGCACACTTTAGCACACTTTAAAATTAGGACAATCGGGGTGCCCGGGTGGCTCAGGTTAGGCTGCTGCCGCTTGGTATGGGCTAAGGTCAATATCTCGGGGAGGTGGGATGGAGCCCTGCATCAGGCTCTGCGCTCAGCAAGGAGTCTGCTCAAAGATTCTGTCTCCCTCTGCCCCTCCCCCGGCTCGCATGCATGTACGCACGTGCACGCGCTCTCTCTCTGAAATAGATCTTTACAATAAAATTAGGACAATAATAACAGCAGCTAACCTTCTGTGCACTCCAAGGTGACAGGTGCTACTCTAAGAGCTTTACATTCTTCTCCTATAAGGCAGACGCTTGTCCCCATGTTAAAGACAGGGAAATTGAGGCAGAGGTAAAGAACCTTCTTATTGCTAAGAAGGATACTGACGGACAGACAGTGCGCAGTATCCAGGGGAAGCAGATGCTAGGAAGACTTAGGTCTCGCTGTCTGGTCCTTGGGGACCCTCCCGGATATTTGCCAACTTCCCTTTTCAACAAGGCGACTGCAGGCCTGGAGCCCAGAGCCTGGGAAAGGTTGACCATGGTTTAATGCCCCATAAATGCTGGTTTCGGTCCTATTCTCCTTCCTCCCCACCCGCCCCCAGCGCCCACTGGGCTGGTTGAACCGGCTCAGCGGCACGTGTCCAGGCCCAGGCTGCCGCCATGGGAAAGGACTCTGTTGCCCGTGAGCCCAGGGCTCTGGGGCCAGAGCTGACGGGAGGGGGGGCAGGGGCGATGCTGCCGCAGTGGCCAGCAGGGAGAGGTTCCCCACGGAGGCCCCAGGGGCACACAACTTACACATCTCCTCCTGGGGGTTGAGCCCCGTGGTTTAAAGACTCCCCACCCCACCAGCATCCACAGGCTGGGCTAAGTGCTTTGCAAACACTGCCATGCTTAATCAGCCCCCACACACCCATAATCCCCCTTTGACAGGAGAGAAACTGAGGTCCAGGGAGGTGAATTGAGGAGGCCACGGTCCCCCAGCCGGGAGGGGAGTTTGACTGGTGCTCTAACGGCCCCATATACTTCCTGACCCTTGCTACTTCCTCCGGGTTGCAGGTTTTTACTTGAAAGAGAGAGAAGGACTGAAATCTTGGTTGGGGATCTGCTCCCCCTCCCCGCCCCCTACAGCCTCTAGAGGCCCCATCTGAGACCCACAAAGAAGGCAAGAAGCATCCAGCCCGCAAGGGAAGGAAAGACTAAGAAACCACCAACGAGGGGCCCTTCCTCAAGCCGTGGTGTGGGCTGGCTTCCGGCAGCTCCGAGCACCAGCTCAACCGCAAAGCTCTCTCTGCAGGCTCGGGGCTGTCCTCTGCCACCAGCAGGGAGTAGCCCGAAAGCTGAGGACACAGCAGGGCCCCCGAGGTTCCGTGGTCCATCCAAGAGAAGTCTTCACTCGGGGGCTGCCTGCCCGACTCTCCTGGACCCCCTGCTCCCTGCCCCGCCA